TTTGTTGAAATTTAATTTTTGTGTTTGTAATGTTCGTAAATTCTGTACATTTAATTAAGTTATTGTTAATTATCTATTGGTTTAATTTAAGTGGCTATTGTTTGGGACGAACAATACTAAGGAAGAGGCAGTGTTACGAAAGCGGAAGTCACGTGACGCTGGTAACACGTGATGAGTTTCTAGAAGATTCACAAAGAGACGAGATGTACGCTTTTATGATATATAAGACCGCCAAGAAGTGACGGCAACAAGGGAATTGAATTGCAGACAGAGATAGAGACGGACAATTGAGTCGAGCGCGATAGTGCGTGAATCGTTCGTTGCGAATTATAGCGTTTGTTTAAGTTAAACTGACTGTGGAAATTAAGTGTATTACAAAGTTGTATTGAAAAAGAATAAACTAGTTTTATTTAAGAAAGGACTTGTATCGCTGAAGTTTCGTCGGAAATAATTTTTACGGAAAATTAACAAACGAACAGAGATGTAACAATATGTTACTTTCCTTACCTCATTTGTAACTTCAAAACACGTTCTCGAGCCTTCGAGCCACATGTTATTTGTTCTTTCAATCTAACCCTTATATTAACAGTTTCATTGCCACTGGTAACCTGATGAAGGGCTTTTGCTAGAAATGTCGTTTTCTTGTTTTATTAATAAAGTTATTTTAATTTTGCGAGTTTTTACCACTCCTTTATATTCTAATAACAATATTAGGTTATAGTTTTGTTGCTGAGCAACATGACATAAAAGCTATTGTTAGAATTTAATGTTACCGAAACGTACTGGCTTTCTTATATATTAGAGGTTGTTAATATAACTGATTTTTACCATTAATTATTCTATGAATACGTCACGAATTCATTTCATGAATGATCTTAATTCTGATTGACACGAAAAGGAATTTACCGACGTTTGACTGCCTCGACTGCAGTTTTCTGCCTCTTTGTTGGTCAAGCTTGATTTCACAAAATTTATTTATTTCAGTTAGCTATAATAATTATAGTTTACATACTTAGTCTAGTTTACACCATAAAGGTAATTTTTTCATGAAAACTGGTGATATAAATAGCGTCTGGACCACTACTATGTATCTCAGCCGGCCTGACAAACCCTGGTATTGGGCGAAAGGCCTAGTCGGTATTGGATATAGCATATGTAGTATGATTGACATATTATAAAATATTCTACTTTGTTTTCACTTATAAATTTGAAGAATTATATAATCCAATGATCGTTAATATTATAGTTAGTTAATGCTGCAAGTGTCTGATAAACCGAAGTAATTACATTCACATCATAAACCTAACTGGGAATGCTAAAATTATTTCACAGAAAGTGAGTAAAATTTATATTTGTAATTGTTATTGATATAATATTAATTATCTTGTTTTAATAAGAGAAAAAATCTATAAAGAAACAAGCAAAATGTATTTGTTTTGTAAGAGAGAGCGCTGAATATATGGATAAAAAATAGCAAACTGTTGGTAATTTCACATGCTAAGCACGTATAAGTTGTTTACGAACAAAGAACCAGTTTCCGGTAGCTTAGTCCAATGAAGCAAGATGTTAAGCAATAATCCCCAAACCCACCCTAATACTGACCTACTTTTCAAAGAATAGAGAAACCCCCTACTCTTACACTTGCTTCCAAACTATTTTTAGTTTAATTTTAACTTCTGTAAGTATTTGTTTTTTGTTTGTTTGTTTTTAATTATGCACAAAGCTACACAAGGGCTATCTCTGCTCTGCCCACCACGGGTATCGAAACCCGATTTCTAGCGTTGTAAGTCCGCAGACATACCGCTGTGCCACTAGGGGGCACTCTGTAAGTAACATAAAAGGAGATTTTTATAACGTTCTTTTATAGTCTTCTAAAATCGTAGGGTTTAGTTTTATGATTAGAAACAATGGAGGTATGGTTTATCCTGGAAAAGGTGAAACAAACCAGAAATTACGTGTAACCGTCTGGAGAAACATTTAATATACTAGCAGAAATACCCGCCTTCCGGGCAGGTATAACTGCTAGTTCCTGCGGAAGGCTATTGGGCCTGAGGCCTTTTCTGGAATTGCCCGACAGTTCTACAACAATGTACTCATACTTGACATTCAATAATGTTCACCATCCATGAGAAAAACGATTTTATTGAAATTTTAGTTTAAAAATGAGCTATCATCACAGCATTACATCACAG